AACACAACGTGGTGCGATCATCCCCCTTGCGCAGAGTGACAGTTCTTGACCCCGCACAACATGATCTACTCGACCACCATTTTAGTTACCGCCAAAAAAAACACCAGAGGTAAAAAAAAAAAACGGTAACCTGGTTGCCGAGTTCACGAAGTGAATTGGCTTGTTTCACAACGTCGTTGCCAAGCGACGAAAACCCAACCCCAATGGCAAACACCGGGGGGGGGGGCAAGTAGCCAGCTTGTTGTCACAATACAACATCGATCAGGTCGACCAAAGCGTGGTGTTGGTGTACGTAGACATGTACACGGACACGAAGAGGTCAGGTAAATGGAGAGATTCCTCACGCCAATACAGAGATACGTGTGTTCTAGCGACACTGATTAGAATTCCGGGGCTTCCGTGACTCACAAACTCACACCGTGTAGATACACAGGATGCCGTTCCGAGCTACCTGGACAGGGTATTGGGGGCTCCGTTGCACATGAGTGGATCACGATTGACTCTTAACCTTAACCTATACCTGTGCCTTTTTATCCGAACACCTACAACAGTACGAGGCGACCAAGATCGAGAATATGTCACAACACATGACAACACCAAAAGAGACGGCAGGTGGATTTTATGTACGTCCGGGATGATGGCGTTGATCAAGATCCCATTGAACGCCAGAAAAAAGAAAGAGAGTCAACAAGACTTGTATTGGTATCTCTTCCACCAGATAGAAACAAACTAGGGGTTGCGAGCTATGCCGCTGTACTACTAACCAGGGAGTGCGATGAAGATGGATGGCTTTTACAACGATGTGCCTTGTGTCGGAGACACGGGTCGTTCGAGAAGGCCGGCCATAACCAAAAAGAGGTGGGGAACAAACATCACGACAAGTGATGGGGGTTCTCGTATGGGAAACAAAAAAGCGTCTCCAGCTGGGAACTCGGAACTATGTTTCGCGTTGTGCGTAGCCTTGGCTTTGGTGGTGGGCTACATTATTGTCGCTTGCGTCTGGGACGTACGTACCGAGCAGAGTACGTCCCGGATCACGCCCCCGAACGTCGATGTTAGCATGCCGCACGCCACACAGACCACGTTTGACAAGCCCTGCGTGCGGGGGAGGGTCGGGCGAGCAGGTGAGGAAGAGGGGAGCAAGCGCAACAAAGATCTACTCTTTTCATTCGAGATTCTTCGGGTTTTCGTCAATCCCCCTCTTTTGCTCGTGCTTGGTCCTCGATCCAAGCTTCCGCTAAAACTCTACGTATACTTTCAAGCGAGTGCTACTGAACATCGTGCACAAAGGCAGAGTAGTGAGCCACCCCACTCGCGCGAAGTGAAACCCCATGTATGCGAGCATGTTTGCTTCAAGCCAGCGAACCACCTTGCGCACGCCGGCCTGGGCCCCGATGCAGCAGAACGCCCCAACCCCCATCGCGTCCACCCAGTTGAGCAGCGCCATGTCATTCCGGACACCTTTGGGATAGGGTTAGTGATGCGGTGCGGGACGGTTCACGGGAGTGGGGTGGGATGGCACGGGACGCAGGCGGCTGTGAACAGGGACACATGGCTAGAGCGCCCTACGGCTGCCCAAAACTGATTCGCCCAACCCTTCCCTCTACACCACGTTGCCTGTGGCCATCATCGAGCCGCGCCCGATTTTCGAGCACAACCAACGACGCACCCCGTGCTTTCACCACCACGGCCGGTACGGGATGGGATGCATCAGGATACCCCCCTGGCCAAGATTTCAAAAACCGAACCACAAAAACGCCAGACCAGAAACGAGGACCGGCCCAGTAGCATCGCGGTGGCGTGTGGCGAAGTCAACCTGCCGATCCCGGTCGAAGCAGCAAGTATCAAGGTTGGCCGAAAAACCAAGAGTGCAACAAGCTGGGGAGGGGAGGGCCGCGGCCGCGGCGGCGGGTCACCTACGTTGTTGCGTCAAGGGCTCTTGCCGCGCGAGCACTAGGCAATAAACTGCATCGCACAACCTCCCCTTCCCGACGGATAGGTCTCACACGCGTGAGTTACCGCGCGACATGACGACGAGGACAGCGCACAGACCGCACGCAGTGTACGGCATGGGCGGTTGTACGATACGGTACCGTGCGGTACGGCGCGGTGCGGTGCGGCACGGAACGGTACGGTACGGCACGGTACGGAATGGAACGGAGCCGCATATTCCGGTGACAGGAAAGAGCGGAGGCGTGCCGAGACACTCCAGGGACCGTTCAATGTCACCGCCGACATCAGCTTCAGGGCTCAACCAACGCCGACACCAACAACACCTGCGTGTGTGCTTTTATTACCAGCATCGACCCGCTGACGTATGAGAAGGCGTCTGTCTCAGCGCAGCTGAAAATACAAAACATTTTCAAAACGCCGTCATCCTTGGGCCGCCGTCTGTGTGTGTGTGTGGTTAACCCATGTTAGAGGGTGAAACGGCACTTAGCGTAGGTCAGTCGCACCCTCCACCCACCTCTTTCCGCGAGATAGGACCAGAGGAAGAAGACGCCGACGGATGTTGCGAGGCACATCCACAGGTACTCCGTCTCGTGCATCCAGAAGACGGGGGTGTTGCCGAGAAGCATGTCACGCACGGTGCCCCCTCCCGTGGCCGTGATGGTCCCCACGATGATGCACCCTGAAATCGATCACGCCGCGGAAACCCCCCCCCCCGCAGGTACGCACGTTATGCACGTGGTCGTTTGGACGTGGTCGAAGGCGACGTCATGAGCTCACGGCAAAGGGAGGGAAGCAATCAAAGGTTGTGTTTTTTTCTGGGCGAATCAAAGTCATCGTGCGCCAATTATATCCGTGTCATTGTGGCACAGACAGATGCCAGGAGAAAGGAAAACCTTCTCTCGCTTCCTCTCTCTCTCTCTGTCTTACACCTGGCAGCGGAAAATATATACAAAGTGTAGGGTTATTGACTCATCTACGTAGAGCAATCCGCACATGGGCAAGCCGTGCACACCATCTACGTAGATCGCCATCCGTACAGTACCCACTCACCGAGGAGGTCCATGCCCACATGCCCTGCAGTCACGGTGCCCGAAATGGCGAACACCGTCGTGCCCAAGTAATCCAGTCCCCGCAACACCCCCTGAAAACAATGACAACGACAGCAGCAGCAGCAGCAGCAGAGCGGAAACCCGTCGAAGGCTTTTCGGGACAGCATTCGCAAACAGAAGCCACGTCCGCCCGTTTCTCGTCCGCTGCCTTCGGCAGCAGGAGAAGGAACAAACAAAGCGAGTCGAGCAATATTAAGCATGGAATACCAACCAACCGCCTTTTGTTGCCGCGGCAGAGAATGATGTTTTCTTTCCAACAGAAGTGACTAGCACGACAAGCACGGGCGAACAATGGTCCTGAAGGATGTTTTGGTTTGCACTGCGGGGGCAGTGAAATTGGTACGAAAAACTGGTATCTTGACTAGCTAGAGCGGAGAAAAGAGCGCTCGGAGATCAGGGAGAAGGCGGCCCTGGCGACCGTTTATGGACAAAGACGCCAATGCTGGTAGTAGACGGCAATCGCATTCACACAACCCTTACGGGGTTGCCCCAGATCATGGCATTTAATGGAAGAATTTTGTATTTTCAACCGCATTGCGACTGACGATTTTTCATTGATGAGCCAGTTAGCGCGGTCGACGCTCAGCATAAAAAAACAACCACACACGTACACTTCTTGCGCAACTGTGTCGAGGGGGACTCGTCTCGATTCTCGAGTCGGCGACGCAAGTTATTTATGTTGTTGCTCGTGGTGGTGGTAATGTTGTTGTTGTTGTTGTTGTTGTTGTTGTTGTTGTTGTTGTTGTTGTTGTTGTTGTTGTTGTTGTTGTTGTTGTTGTTGTTGCTGCTGCTGTTGTTGTTGTCGTCGTCGTTGTCCTTCTTATTATTGGTATGGGTGTGGTCATCCACCTGAGGCGAGCGGAAGGTCGGGTAGCGCGTCAGCCCGTCTTCCGGCGGTTCGATGTAACGGTTGATCAAGGCCGGCTTTTCCCTGGAGGGCAACGCCTGCGGCGGCTTCGGCGACGAGGTCGATCCGGGGCTGAACGGACCGCTGAACGGACCCGTCAGAATCCCTCGCGTTGTTGCCCTGTGCAACGCATCGTAAAGACAGCGGTACCAGTGTTGGGTGTAACACAAAACTCCGCGAGTTTGCAAACAGAACAACGGTTGGCGCTTATGAAGTCTATCTGCAACAAACAGCACACAAAGCAGTCGACCTCTACACATAAACCAAGACGCACTTTTTCACCATTCAAAGTTTAAGAGGAAGCAGGTGGCACGGCGGGAGCTTCAATAAGACCACTCCGTTGTGGAGTTTCGACTTCGGACTTGTACGCTAAATAACAGAGGAGGTCATGGAGCATCGACAGGCGCCTTGGCAAGCCCTCGATCGTGTCGAAGATCGCGTGCGTCACACATGTACGCGCCCCACTGCGCGACCCCCCCCCACACAGACAGTGGCAGCAGTAGCAGCAGTAGCCACCAATGCACGCTGGTGGGTCGCCAATTTAAATCTATCTCCACGACAACTCTCGAGAGAGATCGCACAAACCCTTGCACCAATTGCGCTGTATCTGAATGCTGCTCATATCGACCGTTCGGAGAAGAAAAATCGCGTACGGGGTGCGAGGAACAAGGGAACAGAGAGAGAGGACCGGTGTGGTTGTCCACTCTCTTCCCTGACCTGTCCTCCTTGCGACTTGCTCCTGCTGGGCGTTCAACAGACACGGTCAGCATCCCCCTCGAGGTGCTGTCAGACTCTAAGCGTGCAGTGCCGGTTACTTGGCCGCGCAACAGCCACAGCACCCACAGCAGCGAACATGACAGGGGTCACGACATGCAGGTGTAGACAGCAAGAGTCTGCATACCAACACAACATGCATTTTCTCTTTAACCCCCGCACCACGCACAGAAATTCGGCGTTCTTACGAAATTTCTGAAATGCAAGAAAAAGAGCAAACGACGCCTGCTGATTGGATGGTGCAGACAGCATTTGATAGGGCTTATAGACAGCAACTGGTGGGAGCGTGGTAAACGGAGCACGAAAAGGAGGTTTTCAAGATATTGCTTTAGAGGGAAAGCGAGACCTTCTAATCCAAGCCCTAGGTTGCCCGGTGCCTCCTATCAACGGTGGGCTAGATACATCTTCCGTGCTTGCCCCTAGTAGCGCTTTTCACCCAAGGGTAGACAGACGCGGCGCAAATTCGCTGTTGAACCCGCGGCGTCATCGCCCCCCGATTCGACCTGTTCATTACCCTCATACTCCTCCACTCTACAAAGCATCCATACTAAACTAGAGTCGATACCGTCTACCCTGGCACGAGTAGTTCAAAGGAGGAGACAATCGTGCCATTCTTCGCGAGGTAGAGCAGGTGAAGAAGATGGGACAAAAAGTGTCCCCAAAAGGGGATCTAGCCCTAAAGGGGTTAAGAAGAGCAGTAGACTAACCCTGGTTGGGTGCACACCAACAAATAAAAATAAATGTGAGCGGCATACATGGTAAGGTCCAGGTCTCCAAAGCCTGCCAGCCGCGACTTCCCAGCACCAACGGGAAGGCCTCGACGGGACATCGACACAGAAGCACCGCACGCCGCAGCGATATGGTGGTGGTGCCCGGCACGATGAAATGCCGAGGTGTTGGTTATCGAACTACGCGAGATATTCATGTGTGTGCGACAGAGCCCCGCCTGCCTGCCGGCGAGCACGGGCGGCTGAAACGCTGAAGGAGAAGCACCGAGCTGGGCACGGGAAGCCAGGGAGCGCCCCACGCGGCATCCCGAGGAGGCTAGCTGGTTCGCAGAGCGGAGCATGCCGGAGTTGTTGGCTTGGGTGTGGGACGTGGAATGTGATGCGTGATGTTCCCGGCTCCAAAAACGCGGCGGGACTACATATACTTCGAAGTACCACATGCGGGGACGCTGTGAGATCCGACCCCCCCCCGGGTCTGGTGGACAAAAGCGAGCAGGATACGAGCTAGGACGTGGTGTGCGCCAGCATGTATGACATGGCATGGCACAACCTCAATTTCCCTGCATAGTACACCGCCCGCATCGTTAACTAGACGAATACGGAAAGTTTTCTTAGGTATGTTGCAGCACAGCACGGGGGTCCCTCAATAGAGCGGGACCTGGGGGGACCACAACGTATACCGTACATGACCCAAGATAACGCACCCCCTTGACGGATTTCAAAGCTCGGTTACTCCACGACGAAGAGGATGCATAAACGAAATGATACATTTTCGAAAAGCTATGAACGAGACGGTTTCAACGCCGCCGTTTTCGGCGCTGTGACTGTTCCTGCAGTTGAGAAATCGAGCTTCGAAAATCGGTCAGGGTGTGTGTTATATTGTGTCATATACGGTAGTACCGGCACTACAGCCGGACCCCGACGGTACTGGCTGCTGCTGTGTGTTGGGGGGAGGGGGAGCAAGGCCCCCCGCACCCACACACCCTGAGTAGTAGACTAAATAGGAGACTCATACAATGTAAGATGCCGGTTTATTGGTGGTACTTTTTCGCCCCCGGGTGTACCCAGCATCTATCTTCTGGCCCACAAAAATTAATGTTGTGGGCAGGAGGGAGACTTTACGACGTCGTCGTGTCCAAGGCAACACCGCTAACCAAAGCATTCGCTACACACGCACACTACGGTAGCACGCCAACCGTCAATAACGTGGAAAATCCAAACCAAACGTGGGCGTCTCATAGAAACGAGGAGGACCACCAGGCGTTCGTTGCATGCATCTATATCTCACGGGGGGAATCTAGTAGTATCCGTTGTTGAACGCTCTCTACGCACGTAAATAAATATATATATATATATATGTAAAGCCGAGCCTGCAGAAAAACGACAAGAAGAAAGAAGAGCACCCATCCCATTCCATCCATGCCAACCCGCGTGCGCAGCACAGAGGTGAGAGGTACACACTACTACTTCGGGCACAGCGGCAGTGTAACACTGAGAGACGTACACACTTCTTGCGGACACAGCAGTGTCAACAAATGTGAAGTTTATCTGTCACGCTGACCCAACATCTCCAGACAACGTCCCCCGCCTTCGCCCCATCCTGAGCACCTCGGGGGCGACAGCATTACAGCGCGACACTCGCCCACGAGGTTATAATGAACAAGCACCCCTGCTTCTTCTCCATCCATCCACCCACAAATTCGGGCCCATTCGGGCAAAAAAAATAAATACAGAAAACTTGACAAACGAGAGAAAAAAATGCCATGAATACCCAAGGATAAAAAGTGCACCCACCCGCCGGTGGCGCACAAGTTACTACGCAGATAGGGTACCACCACCATAGAGGAAAAGATTGTTGCTTCTTCATATGCATACGTGCAGAAGAAAGTACGCAAGAACACGGAGGACGTACCGGAGGGCCAATGAAAAGACACTGGACTAAAGTGGCTGACTACGCATGCGGATAAAAAACTACCGCCTTCGTGCGGAAGAAATACCGCCCGGGGCGGGGTATAGCCGGGATGTAGGGCACACCTTAACACACATGAGATTATTATCCCGAATGATACATGGAATGTCTGGGCAAGCTTAAAAATAAAACCCTCCCGCCCTCACCCCCTTCGGAGCTAGAAAAATAACACGGGCACGCACGTGCACGCGCGCATGCCGTCATCCCGAAACGGTCGGGTGAAGACGAACCCTACCTACTGCACCGGACGCGAAGGGCAAGAGCAAAGAGGCAAAAGAGAGAAGAGACGAAGCCCAACAAGGTGCTCCGTAAACGCCGTGGCAATCCGGCGTGTTCGTCGACACGGCGGTCTACAACAGACACCGATGCAACGCCAAATCAATCGTGGAGAAACCAAGATCGATCGTAGACTACAGGGAGAAGGGTCTCAAGCCCTTGCCCACGCGCGGCATCACCCCTCCTGAGGAAAAAAAAACAAAAAAACACATCTATCTAACATCCGCGTGAACGAGTAGTAAGTGATCGTATCACCAGCCTCTCGTCGCCTGGCATGAAATGCGACATAACGAGGCACCAAATATAAAAATTAACGTAGCAATACAAAGAGAGGCCCCCAAAACAAGGAATACGGCCAAGCAACTTTTTCCCTCAGACCGCTGCCCGCCGACGTCTCATCTCTCCGGGCGAAAAAGCGCCAGAGAGAGGAGGAACCACAAAAACAAAAAGAAAGAAAAAAAAGGCAGCACGAACAGACTCTACCCCAAACACCAGTCAGACGTTCAAACCACCAAAAGCGGCAGAATACATACCACCGCGCAATGCGAACGACACGGACGTGCGCCCGGGCGCAACAACCGCGCGCGCGCGCAACCGAAAAAATGGGGTCCGTAACAGCTCGCGCATGTTTTTGTGCACGCAATCACACACACGCCGTCCCCCTTGAACACAGAAAAGGAACGTAAGGAGAAGAAATAAGAAGAAACGAAAGGACACCTCTTGTTGAGGCAACCAGCGTCAACAGCGCGGACACACACACACACGACGTAGCAGGCACAAAGGTCACCATCCGCAACATGTCCGTCCGAAGGTAGGTGCTCCCGACAAGTCAGAGGCGCCAACCAGCAACGTGTCCACAGCAAAGGTAAAAAAAAAGCGGAAGGCACACGCCACAAAAACGAGCGCACACGCAAAAACACGCACACATGTAAAAAGCACGCACACACTCACAAGAGGAAAAACATGACGAGCCACAGAATGGATCTACATGTGCCAAGAACACAACCATGAGTACACGTCGCATATAAGCTACACGTGGTGGTAGACAACAACAGAGATGAGGTACATGGTGCCATGGAACAGGCAAAAGTACATAGAAAAAAGAATAGAACGTTGGTCATCTGCGACGCTATGAATTCATTGCTAATAGTCATGTAGTCATACATCCCGGACTGACTCTTCTTTCTTTGTAGTGGAAGAGGGGTGAAATATTCGTTGCAGGGTTTTCGCAAGAAAAAAAAAAAATGTGTGAGTTTTCTTTGTTTCTTGTCCTTCACTTGGTGCAGAGCGGCAAGAAGGTCAGCAAGCCGAAGAGGGCCAACGCCGCGACGGCGAACCCCTCCCCGCCCGACATGTCCAGGGGCTTGTCCTCGAAGCTGTACGTTTCTAGAGCCTCTGTGCCCGTTCCCTGAGCCGGAGATGGGGTCGCTCCCACGCCTGTGTCGATATTTTTCATCGCGTCAAAACGGGTGTGTGTGTTGGTTTTGGGGGGGGGGGGGGGGGGGGGG